GAGATGTACGTGATCAATCCAAAATGCTTGCATCACCTTCAGTAACCTTGAATTAATAAATATCAGTAAATATTACTGTATAACACTGTGAGACTTTATCAAAATAACTCTTACGCATAATGGAATTATACTCTTTCATACTGTACGAGTTCTACTCTTATAACTTCAATTAGAGTTTTGTGAAATAATTGTGAAGCAGTCATTAATAATGATTTTATCCCCTGACATTAATAAGCGCTTTTCAATGGATGACGATGAATTTATATTTAGATTAACTGCATTTTAGAACATGTTCTTTTCGAGGATACTAGAACATTTTATTGGTTATATATATAAGTGCCACCATAGCTGCAGGTGAACTTGTAGATACAGTTTGAAGTAGAGTCCACAGAATTGCGTCCCTCAATAGAAGGTACAGAGATCGAAAATGTTCTAGTTGTGAGGGGAAGAGATGCGGCGTAGAATGTGCGCCTGATGTCTGACCGAAGTCTTTGAGCTATCAACTGCATAATTTGATCACCCTTGAATGGTGGGTTAATAAAGATAGCTTTATTTGGAACAGAAGCTGTCTTTTCAAGAGGTAGTCTATCTTTACTGTGATAATTGAAAAGGTTTTCTGGATGAACACTAGCTAAAGAAATTAAATGTAGGTGTCGAAGTTCATCCATCAATGTGCCGCTCGAGCATATTTTTCGGACCCTTGAAAACAAGCATTTCACTAAGCAATGTTTATACTGGAAAGGAACAAAACTGGTGAAATAAAGATAGTGTCGACTCCATGTCTAGTTACGAAATATAGACCGCATAATCGTTCAGTTGTCTCTTCTACTCATTTAAATATCCAAAAAGCAGAGTTTGTTATTCGATTCACATTTATAAGTCACTCGGATATTTCGATGAATGTGATTAAATCAAGTGGTAAAATTTTCAATAGACTTTCTATTATTGCCAGTAATGAGATTTATATCCACATAACGTTTAAATAGGATAAATTTTTCTAGACTACGTTGCATTTATTCTCTAATTTAGACATGAAGGTATCTGCTAACAGGAGCCCAAGAACGCCCCCATCGCAACACTATTGATTTGTTTGTACGCCTTTTCTTGGAAGGTGAATCTCATATTTTCTGTACATATTAAGATAATATCTCCATTGCAAGTGACAAGAATAGGTAAGAATACCCAATTGCTTGTGATGTAATTGCAAATGAAATCAAAAGTTTCATGAAGTGGAACATTGGTGAGTAAAGATTCTATGTCGATTGAGCAGAAAACCTTTTCTTAATGTTCAAAGTGTTTAACATTTTGGTCAGATCGCATGAATTTTTCACAGAATGATTCGATAAGGAGTCTCTTACTGGCGTGAGGACCTCTGTAATCCACTTTGCGATTTTATTATATGAAGAATTCGAAATATTAAAGATTTAAATATGAGCGGTCATTAGTATGTCGTTTTGTTTTATGTAACTAAGTGGTTGTTATGCATTTCATTTTAATATTGTGAACCATGCTAGTTGTAAAGCGATTGTGGAGAAACTACGAAATGATATAATCTCACGAAATTTGTCTCTTAAAAGCCTAATTCAAGTTTATCAAATGGACTAATTGTTTTAAACTTAATATTAGTTTTACAAGGCCTTTAATTTATTCAAAACAAGAATTACTAGTGTGCACAACTGCTTTCAATGTATTTTCTTCGTACTCTACAATTGTCAATCCAATCATTTTAGCACACAACTGTCCGTAAGAGCGAATTAGAATTCTATTAGAAAGTATTTTGTGGAATATATAGAAGACTTGATAATAGTCAGTTTGTTTTGATTATAATTTATAGTATGTATGGTCACTTAGAACAGGAGATAAAGTGGAATGAAATAATCCAGCTATATATATATATATATATATATATATATTTTACATATGTACATGTTTCATTGGTGAGTGTAGTACGTGATGTGAGAGATGATATGAAGACTTCACGGAAATAAATTGGCAAATGAATTAGGGTATACGTAAGTTTAAGTGTGATAAATGACAATAATTATGATAAAATAATAACGATGGTCTGGCGTTAGCATGAACGTAATATCGGTGGACGGTTATTAGGAAATAATGAATTTAATAAAGTGGAATAAACAAATGGAAAAGGAAGAGAAATAAATAAGACAGATTTAAAGCTTATGGAGGATTTAGATATAAATAAGCTACTTCACAAACTTCTGGATACGGAAACCAGGTCTTGTTGTACTGACCACTATCGCTTCGGCAACTGATCTGAGATTTGATCAGGCATGTTTAGAGAGATTACGAGGAACTCTAAAGATCACTGAGAACGCCTGCTCTGGTTTGATTGAGTATCCAGTATTCCCCGGGTGGGCTAAGACTGAAGTATTTACATATTTGGTTGCCCTCTAACTGAACCATACAGCTATATATGAACGTGAATGCATGAACAGAGCCCTCAGAGTAAGTCCTATTTAAGTAAGTGCGCAGCACTAGTTAAACTCACATAATGTATTTTTCACTTGCGTTTCAGTCATATCATGTGTTCCATTCACTTCAGTAAAATGTTTTCTCATTTTGGCGACCATACCACGTTGAAAGCATCGTTTCTCGTCCGATCGCCGAAGTTAAGCAACGTTGGGCCCGGTTAGTACTTGCATGGGTGACCGGCTGGGAATACCGGGTGTTGCCGGCTTTTTGGCTGCGTCGGTGGCACAGTGGTTAAGACCATGCACATGGTCCGAGGTTTGATCCCCTGCCGCCGCACACCTGATATCTATGGTCGGCCTGCAAAATTTGGGCTACCGATATCCATGCTGAAAATTTCATACTTGTACCAAAAATACAGTGTGGAATCAAGCTGTAATCAAAACAAACAATTTCATAAAAACTTCAGAGAGACGTCGGTTTATTCACATAAATAATTGTCAGATATTATCTCTTCAACTTGATCATCTTTACTGATAAAAATAAGGTGACCAATTTTATGTGCCATTATAACTCTTATTTAAGGAACTCTAAATTCTTTCCGTATATTTCACACGAACTTTATTTTTCTTTGTTTAATAATAATCTTGTGAATGATTTTTTCATTTGACTTAGGATAAATCTATGAAATAAGAAGATACTTTCGTGAAACAATCTATCGGAAAACTTTCATTAGTAAATGAAATAACATAATTCAACAGAAAGTATTTCTTGAACAAGCAAGAACAACAAATGTACCAGGATAATATGAGCTCATCTATTTTTATTTCGAGGATTCTTCTCAACTGGTTACAACCTGAACGTTAAAAGATATGAATTACATTGAAGATATGAGCACCACGATCATAAGGAGTAATTGGTAGGAATTAAAAGTAACATTAGTCCGGAATGATTTAACTGATTAGGAGTTACAAACATTGACTATTTATAGAATAAGTAAACAATTGGGCTTGGAATAAACAGGGTTGCGTATATATGTGTGTGTATAGAAACAAGGTTTAGCTATAAAGAGCAAAACAAAAAAGTAGGTTTCATTGAGTGATTTCAGAATATCATTAGTACACGAAAAATAGGTACTTAAGTTATTGATGACCTATCTAACGCCACAGGTTACTCATTCGCCTTATTAATTTAAAAAGTAAAGTAAATATTTAAAAGTAAATATTTCTTGGCTTAATCTTTCTGTTTTCTAAATGTCTAAATGGGGATTTTTTTCTATATTAATTTTGATGTTTGATCTAACTAGATAGAAACTGTAGGTCCGTCTGTTCATTTAGTCCACTTATACTGAATGAATAACCTTCATGGTTATTAGGTGATTTCAGCCTCTATATTTTCATCTCCATTTAATCGTCCTCTTCTAAACTACACTTCATATTATGTATTACATTTTGTACAACACAGTCACCAGTATCCAATTGTTTTTATGAATTCTTGGTTAAATTTTAGCAGGATTGTACAGCTGATAGAAATGGTTCATCAAAAATAAAATTTTCATCACTGTTACATCTTTTATTTATGACTCATTGGGGAAACTATCGAAAAATTAAGAATTTGGGTTTTACTGAACATCCGAGTAATCAACTGTCAATAGCTTTGTGTGCATGTATTTGTACCGTGTATGTGAAACAAATTACACTGGTGCATTAGTCTTGTCTTCTTTCTCTATGAGCATAATTATGTTTACCTCTGTTGTCGGGGAAAAACTTTAAATTATTATACAATTTGGATTCAGTCAACTGGCGAAAAGACTCACATCACAGATAATTTAACTATTGTTCTAGATGTAGAATTTTTGATAAAGTCCCAGCCTAACGATGCAAGCCGGTAACGTAAATGTGGAACTCATGGCGCTGTATCTGTGTTCACCTATGGAAACCGAAAAAACAACGGGACGACATTCCGAAAACTATATTTTCAATTTGTTTTACTGTATTATTAGCCACGTATAAAAATATGCTGAAGGAAATGGAGATGGAATGAATACATGCCTAAGAGAAACCTAAGTGACATCACACACCACAGCCTGAGTCAAGATTGACAAGTCAGGCGTTCGAGGAAGATCGTGTGAGGACAAGATGAAAGTTTATGCGAAATCGTGAAACCAGTTGGTAATGGCTTCAGAGCAGGGTGAAATGGAAACGTGCTTACGAAGCCATATGCTCCATTTGGAACTAAAGGGAATAATAAATGGTTTGTTAGATAAGGTGTGCAGAAAGCTGTGTGACTAATTACTAAGTTTCCATAATCCTTCACTGTGGATTTTACTGTAAGATCTTAAGACATGATATCAAAAGCTAGGCTATCCAGTACTCGCTGGTTTTTTTAATGGTTCTCAAACTGATATCAATCCTTGGTCATACTCGTATAAATAAATTTATTCCTTACGAACCAAACTCTTTAAAATATCAAAAAGCACCGTTTCTACCAAAGTCGTGTATTATTAATATTTTATTCAACAGATTGATAATAAAGAATGAAATGTTATCATTTCAAAAAGTGTGAAATATTCAAAAATATCTTGATAACACTAAATAGACGAAGTTTAAAATACACATTGACCACAAAGTTTTCCCACTGAAATGGTGAATACTGTTTCCTTGAGGTATTGATAAAGAGAAAGCAAACAATGTAATTTTACAAAATGAAATGCGAAATTTTGCAATGGTCTTTATGAGACAACTGATACTAGTCATTATTAGGGTAATCTCAACTATCATGAATGAAATATTTGTAATTATGAGCAATAAATTTAACGCAAAACAGTAAATAAATAATACTGAATCACTGTCTTTATCCAGTAAAATTAAGTTATGGAATGAAATACATAAACCTTAAAGTTAAAATGTGTTCCATGAAAATATTAGAGAATCACTTAGAAAAAATGGTTATCCAGATAAATTCATTTAGAAAAACATGAATTCAGCACCAAGGAGAGTCAGTATGGCTACAGTTCCGAAAAAAACAATGTTAATAAAATTGCAGTTCATTGGTGATAACATCAGCTAAATAATAACACAGCGCCTGAAGAATGCAGTTAAAAGAGCTTATTATGCAGCAGAGGTACGTTGTCTCTTCACTACCAACCCCGATTCTATGTTAGAGAAATAAGGATAAACTACTTAAATTCGCTTCTTCTATGTGTGTCTACCAGTTTGACTGCAGCTGCGGAGCCAGCTACATTGGGCGTACAATTAGACAACTTCGTCGTGATATTTCCAAACATTGTCCAACATGGTTAAGGAAGGGGCAAACAAGATCTATTCGTAGTTCTATTTTAGCACACCTTGTAGATATTGAGCATAAGGTTGAAGTTAATACTGCATTTGAAACTATTTATCGCATTCCTACTAATCTTAATTTTGCTCTACGAGTTAGTCTTCTAAAGACAGCTGAAGCAACATGGATCCAACTGAAGAAACCAAACCTGTGTGTTCAGAAGAAATTTGTACAGCCACTTTCCTTACCTTGGCCATGAATGTATAAACCAAACTACTTCGCCCCCCCTCCCCCTAAACCGCTAAAATTATAAAAATAATAATTGTCCAAATTATTTTATTTTTTATTTACTTTGACTACTTCATCTTTAATTACGCGTTATCCTTGTAAAATTAAATAAATTTATTCTAACCATTTCTACCTTTTAAGTGTGTATTGATTTTCTTCGTTAATTATCAATCCATTGACATTTTGACAATGACTAATTATTGTTAACAAACATATCGCCACTTGATTGATAAAGCGTTGTGTATTGTAAAAAAAATGCTATATATATTAGATTAGAGCCAGGATCTAATTGAAAAGTAAATATTTTTTCGCTCAATCTTTCTGTTTTCTAAATGTCTAAATGCGGATTTTTTTCTATATTGAAATAATTTTAGTTTTGTTTTCATATTTTATATATCCTTCTGTGCTCTCTTTATCAACTGACTTTTATTATTTTATGCATAATACATAATACTCTTTTTCGTTCCTTTGGGTAACTAGCTTAGCAGTGAAATTAATGTTTATATATAACAGATGACATGAATCAGAAGTAATCTTCTTGGTCAATAAACCATCGTTAGTTCATGCTAATACCGTCAACAACCAACGTCTATGTTTATCATTTAAAACAGATTCAGTCAATTAGAAAATGTACTCCATTTCTCTGGGAAATTCTAACAAGGAATGTCGAAGATGGTGTGAATGATATGTCACATCCAAAACAACTAAAATCTACCTAAAGAATATAAAAGCTTAGTGAATTTATTTGAATCCTTCATGAAGCACAGGAGATAATGCTTGAACTAACATTACTAGCGCGTACCTCAGTTTAAATAACTACAGAAATAACAAATATTTTCCATCATCTCAGATCTTTTTCTAATTTTTTAAGTCTTATTGATTTGAATAATGAATGATTCGACTTATTGCTGGGCTAGTCAGATAAGTAAGAATAAATTAGGCCGAATGCCAGTTTGTTTATTATTTTGCGTCTTGCATAATATATAACAACATCTAGCAACGGTAAGGAACAGATACCAAATCCAAACGACCTTGAACCAACCAATCAGATCGCTCAACATTGCAGATTGATGGTTTTCATAATCTTCTTTGCAAGTTTTATCCTACCCCTAATCTTCCTTGCATCATTCACCCTAACCATCCATTAAACCTATCATAACCTTAACCTGAATCAGGATGAAACTTACAACGAAGATTATGAAAAGCATTCATTTGTAATGCTCAGCAATCTGATTGTCTGGTTCAAGGTCGTTTGGATTTGGTGTCTGTTCTTTAGTGTTGCCCGGTATCTATTATACTATCAGCCTTTATACACTAACCAACTATGAATTATCCATAAATTTCCGGTTTAGTGTTCATAAATATATAATTATATATGTTACTAAACAGTTTTAGTAAACATTGCAGACCAAAATATTTTATGGGATGTCTCTGTAGCTCTGCTTCTAAGATTCGTTTTTCTTCTTGGTTTACTAACGCTCAATTTACTGTGGGATTACTGAAGTGAATCATTATTTTAGAATAGCTTGCTTTTATTTTGTGAATAACGGCATCTCATGTTATCGTACGAATGAGAAAATTGTCCACTGGTTTTACTTCATGTGAACGCATATTGCGAGGAAAATGTCGATCACTAATTACATGCTGCATCGTCAGATTATGAAAAAATTTCCAGAATCATTTAAAAGGAAGTAAATCACAGGATAATATGAAAAGATGAAATTAATAATCTTAACCACCATCGCCTATTGGAATATGTAGGTGTTATTGAGACAATATGTCACAGTTCATACTACAGAGGCAGTCCACTTATTTACATTAGTCTTGCTTTTAAAAGTTAACACAGTTGTCTTGGTTCTCAAGATCAAGATTAGTCAAAAATGCTTTCACACTAAGCATTTAGTTATGTTCATTATCTTACACCATCTTAAAATAAATTTCCGAAACTTTTAGTAAACTCTGGACGGTGTTTACAACTTTTTGAAGGTTGAAAAATTATTTCCTGCTTTTCAAACCGTGTGGTTGTAGTTTATTGAAGTCTACCACCTTAGGACAGTCATTTTAAAAGCCGAAGCATTTCACATTCGTTTAGCTAACAGTTTTTGAAGAGTTTGTAACTAATTAATAATTCACGACAATGGTAATTTGCATTCAAAGTATACATTTTCTGTACCAACTCTCTAGATTCGCTTCTGTATCACTCAGATTAACTTTCAGCCTAGAATTTTAAGCATATTTATTACTCTATATTTGTGAATGACAGTTTTTTCACAATACTGTAATGTAGTGTTAGATATATCGAAAAAGTGTCCTAGTGAAATAAATATATGCAATTTATTTCGGAAATATCTGACTGCTGTTAGAGAATTAATACTACTTTGTATACCAGGCTTACCTCTACTTATATAATCTAAATTGTATACAGTTAAAAATTACTGTTAATGTCAGTCTAACTGTTATAAAGCTAAAGACCAGATGACGTATTATCTAAACTTATGTTTCTTGAAGGGGTGTAAAGTCACTGCCTAAAGAAGTATTCTCGACGTACTTAATACAACATGCATCTGTCTGTAACCTACTCAGAAACCTTGGATCGTTTTCTTATTCTATACTTTGTTTTCCATCCCAGATATGCTTGCATTTTTTGTTATTTCAGGCTTCCTATGATAGGTGAACACCATCACATAAAGGTAAACATTTTAGCGTTATGTCACAGTATAGTCCCGTGCTAGATGAGTGCATTTGATAAGTAATGCTAAGTGAAATTTTGATCGACTGGATAACGTTTTCAATCATATCAAAGTAGTCACGTTAATTCTGAATCACTTCATAAAGCTCCATACCCTTATACTCTCTGTCAAGACAATACTGATTCATTGTTATAATCACATTACTAAATCACTACCGTTTTCTTTTTCACTTAATCCTGTGGCACTGTTCAAATGTATGTACATAAATACGTATTTTTCCTGAATACAACCTTAGTAGGGTCCATATCTAGTTAGATTCATATGTTCTGAGTACCTAACTAACGTCTATATAAGAGATTACTGATACACTTTAAGGTTCACTGAAAAAATGTTGGTCATTATGTGGAGCGTTATAACAATGCCTCGGGGAGACCTTGAGGGGTGTGTAACAAAGATCTGAGAGATTTCATGGCATACTTATTAGCATCTAAACTTCTTTTTCGCTTCCACTAATTTATTATTCTTAAATACATTTGTTTTACTGGTGTTCCCAATTTCTAGGTCATCTATCCTAATTCACGCACAAAACTCGGCTAAAAGGAAACAAGTTTCTAGAGTTCCCCGATTTTCGATGGTCACTTTAGTTTAAGTTAATAATTGTTGACTTAAGGTTGTTGGATTCGTAGAGACTTCATTTATTTCAACCTAATATGTGTTATGAATGAAAATAAATCAGAGGAGTGACGAAAAATAAAGACCAATGGGAAGTCGTCTTGCTGTGATTTGGAATACCATACCTCTTGAGAGCTTGTAAGTATCAACTTCTGAATTATCCTAAACTCAGTGTGACTTAATGTCAATATTTCTTTAGTTTTCATTGGTTTTAGACTAACGGTAAAGAGCACTTTGCTAATAATATAACTTCTAAAGCTGTATTTTTGACAAGAAAAATTTACTAAGGTATAATCATTAAAAACTCACAGCATTTAATAACCTTCTCACCTGAAATCGAACCATGTTCACGATATAACCACGTGGTTCATAATGAATCCTTTAACAACATGAATGCTATAGCGTTACTGAAATTATGCGATAAAACTATTGTGAAACGTTAGATGTTCACAGAGGTTAGTCGCACTTTTGAAAGATGATGGAAATAGAAGTTCTTCACAACTTAAAAATGTCTGTTTGTATAAAAGACTAACTAGGGATAACTATAAAATTTTAGATTTAGATAATTATTATTTTTTCTTGGTTTCGAATGACATGAAACTAAGGTGACGCAGCTTTTCTCACCCTGACACTTTGTTGCAACAACTTACTTTCATACTGGCATTTAAACTCTACTCTTCATTCGACAGTTAAAAAAATATTAAGTTTTATGTAATTCTTTCATGATAAATATATCACATACAAGTATTGGTTTTGAAGGGATTTTTGTTTGATTGGTTGGAGGATTTCAACATAAGCTGTGACACCAGGTAGGCAACCATTTGAAAACCTAGGAGTACTGGATAGCTGTTTCGTACTGGGTTCGAACCCCGGTGGCCGCGTACTACTGAAAAGTCCCAAAGTAAAACAGAACAGCTCTCCAGTACTCCCAGATTTTCCACTTGTTCTCTGACTGATGTCAGCTCATGATGAAATCCCCCAACTAATATCACGTTCAATGATTTCTAATGATAACATGCTTTAAAACAAATGACTTACTTTCTGTACAAATTACTTTGACTTTTCAAAAGAAAAAGGGTAGATTAAACAATGTCCATTCATAAACTGTTTGACAAACAAATTAAATTTCACGCATACAATTACTGCAGTGTTTACTTACGTTGTTTTATCTCTTCTGAAAGAGTAGAAACAAATATCTTGCTTATATAATTTATTTACTGATTCAACTTAGTATCAACAATCTAAACTATTTAGAAATTATGTATCACTTCCTTTAAACCAAAATAAGAAATATCTAGTCAGAAAACAAAGAAGACAGTTTTCGATGAGTAGAATAATCGTAGGGCGGATAATGAATTTATTTAGTGGATGGTGACCGGCACTGGGACCCACAATAATGCTTTGGAATTTGGAACGATGAGCGCTGGACTCGAGTCTCAATGGGATTACCACCACTCAGTGGGGAGAGCAGGCAAATTCAACTTGCGAGTCCCAAACAGAATGAAATAAGCATCTTGGATTCCACTACATGTCACTATCTACTCAATAGCATTGTGATATTCCGCAGACATCGTTGAAGTTTACTTAACGGGCGCTGCCATATCAAAACAGGCCGAAAATTTCGATCTGATCAATCAAAAGGAATATCAAAAGTGACTTTAACAAATAATGAATATTGACTTTATTATTATGACACCAAACTTCTTTGTTGTATTACAAGGATAGCGGTAACGTGACAGGATTCTTTGGAAAAACCCAAGATTTTAAATGTCGACCACTTTGACAGCAGTTAATTGATTGGAAAGTAGGTTGTTGTAGACGTTACATTATATCGGTGTCATTATTACCAGAATTTTAGGGACTGATATCTGAGGATAATTTAGAGCGGAATAAAAGTGATTTTTCATATTAGGTTATCAAAATAGGCCTGAGAATAGCGTGGATGTTTGTGACTGCTGTATCAAGTAACATGGGTTTGTATTTAAAAAGGAGTCAAACTTCTAGAAGTCAGCACCTCTCTTTTACAAGGTGAATAGAATAAGAAGGGTATCTAAATCAAACGGAACTTCAAACGACTTGTCTGTTCCATTCTAGGTCGACATGTGAGTCATTTATAAGGCTTTTTAGTAAAGTTACAAGTTGTAAACATTACATTATAGTAATCTTCATCTAGTCAGCACTGCACAAAAATTTACAGAACGAAAACATACCCCGTTTGGCTAACAATTTAGAAAAAATTATGAATACAAATTACTGAACATATGAGTGAGAAGTGTGATGGAAATAAAGTCTAATTCTGCGGTAAATCATTAATTTTTGAAGAGGACTGTGATGTGAAAATCAAGTTAATCAATCAGTGACAAACTGTCTTGTCAAAATTTGTATTAAATTACATGGATTGATGAGTAATGATATTTAAAAAACGGATTACTTTTTGTCTTTCATGTTATAAACAATAGTGATAACCTTATATTATAAAAATTGTGTTCCATGTCATCAAAGAGAATTGTACAGGAGTACCAAAACCTTCTATTTCTGTTATCCAAAAGAGAGAAGGTATATGTGTAATCCAAATAACTAGATATAACTCAATATTCTGATCCACTCCGGTACATGAATGTGATGCTGTATAAAACATATGAAGCTTACTAGTCTATCCCTGTTGATGTCATCAATACATTTTGTTTCCTCATATTTTGTAAGAAACCTCATTGACCAAGTATTTTAGAAACGTTCATATTGCCGGATTAACTACTGACTATGGCTGGAAAAAATCTCCTTTGAAAATGTGAAAATCACAAATTATTTCGTATTTATCGAGTTTACTAATAACCAAATATACTTCTTATTAGACGAGAAATTACAGTAGACATCTGTTGTAGGGTACTCACAAATACACACACACACATTAGGGATGTCAAACTGTTATTGTCGACTCTAAACACCTTACTTGAGCTTTCTTTATTTGAACATAAAATTGATGCAGATGGCATTGAACTCACGTTTCTTTTCTGTTACTATGACTGAAGTACCAAGAGTATTTAGAATCATGAATACGCAACAGTACTTTTCTTTGAAAAAGAAAAATCAAAAGTGATTTACGTATCTTTAGTTTATTGAATTATTTTATTTTATCGGATTTCAAGGATACAAAACTAAAGCCTTGACTCCCAAGTGATATTGATGACACAAAATGTTTATCTGACATTTTCACAAAGAAAAATTACTGTTAGCCTTTAACATTTTTAAACTGTCAACATTCACTCTTAATCTTTTCCAGTTGACCCACTTGTCATTTTAAACCCAAAAGTTTTATATTTATTTTTATTTTTTACAGTATTGAATTCGATCTTATCAAATTTCACACCATGTTATGTAACATTTTATATTCATCTACTAATCTTATAATTATGTACATCTTTCCAAAATCTATATACCTTATGTATCATTCTATTTATGACATTAATTATTTTCCCACTTGACATTAAACCATAATTATAATCACAAATATTTTAACTGCATTCCATACTATTATTATTTCATGTATTCACACCTCTTTTTAATAATAATAATAATTCACTTTATTCCAAAAACAGTACTTGTGATACAGAATGGAATTTTCAGCATTAATCACAATATTGCATCTAATTTCCTCAAATTATAAATAAAATTAATCACACAGAAAATTTTCCACATTTACAATAGAGGTAGTGTCAAAAACATGCAGCATATAAAATGGAAATAGCAATAATAATGATAACAGCTAGGGTAATAATAATAAGAATACAAGTGAAAATTGCCGTTGGCTTGTGTCACACAGTATTGGCAATGTGGTATAGAAATCCTAACATGTTTAAAAATATTGAATATAATGTTCTCTTTACATGATATGGTGAGGGGAAAAACAAAGATTACAGCCGTCATGGAGATAAGTTGGTGTTTGCAATTATGAGAGTAAAACAGAGAAGTAACAGGACCATAAATATAATAGAAGTAATAAAAGTAAAACTTGAAGGTATATAAGGATGGATGGAGGAAATTGTTTATTTACTAGATGAAAAAAGGTTAGTTAATTCTTGCCTGACACTATTTTCATCACATAAAATACGTGCCAAGTATGGTATCATAGAATTCTTATACTTAGACGTGCGAGCATACAGTTTTCTGAAGTTACTCCTTGTTCTACCTGAGGAGATGCAAGGTGAAAGCTGAGGGTAAAGCGGATGCTCCAAGTCAGACAAAATCCCTTTAGCAAATTTATTGCACGAAGTCAAGTGCCTATCGACAACGACGTTAACTATGTGGTCCACTGGGACACCACTCACCCTACTGACAGTCTTCAGTATTCTACGAATTGTGACATAGTCCTTTTTAAGCAAACCAGGAAAGAATAAGGGTGAGCAATAAAGAAGAATAGGTAGGATGCAAGAGTTTACGAACTGTAGGATGAGGGGTTGAGTTATACCCGAGTGTCTTAACTTCTTAATGTAAAATGTCAAGCGGAATATTTTACTGGAGATTGCTAAGACATGGGAAGACCAGGAGAGATCAGAAGAGAGAATGAGTCCAAGATACTTAATTTCTGATTTGATTCCTATATCATTGTCGTCAATTTTACAACTGTCATGAGAATCGATGACTTCTTTTAACTGTCGTTTACATCTTAAGCTGAAATCAACAGTTTGACACTTAGAAGGATTCAGTTTAAGACCGTTAGACTCAGACCATTTGCTGACTTCCGATAGAAAGCTATTTATTTTAGTACAATCTAGCTGGGAGTTAACAGCCATTGAAACCGTTAAATCATCAGCGTACTTCACAAAGTTTATTTCATCAGAGTCATGCAAGAAGAAAGAAAAAAGAAAAGGAGAAAGAACAGCACCTTGAGGGACACCAGCTTCAGTAGGCAATGAAGTGGAAGACTTCCCTTTATATACGGTGTACTGCTTTCTATCTGAGAAATAGGAATGTAACCAGTTAACAGCCCAACATTCTGTTTGACTAGCAGCAAGTTTATTTAATAAGATGTCCCTAGGGACCGAGTCGAAAGCAGATGTATAGTCTAGGAAGGCACAACGAACAAATTTAGCCCCCTTGTCTAGACTGGAAGCAATGTTATGATATAAGACGGCAGCTGCATCTAAAGTGCTTCTACTGTGCTTATAGGCAAATTGTTTAGGGTCATTAAAGGATTTAAGCGAAGGTACAAGACTAAGTAAAAGTAATTTCTCCATAGTTTTCAAAAAAGGAGAGGTAATAGCAATGGGTCTAAATTTGACACATGCTCCAGTAGAAGATTTAGGTATGGGTACAACTTTAATGTCCTTCCAAACGGCAGGCACAATATTATCGGAAAAAGATTTGTTAAATAGATCAGTAAGAGGGTGACACAGAATATCAGAACATTTTTTAAAAATAATACTAGGTACATAATCGGGACCTAAGCTCTGGGAAGGGTTTAGAGACTTGAGGCACTTTTGAACATCATTTGTGTTAAAACCTGGAAAGGGGCTATTATTAACACAAGTGATGCTGGGAAGCATGGCATTTGAGGGAGAGTAAATAAAAGATTTGTTAAGAGTACATACATCAAAAGAATATGGAATATTGTTTATCTGCTTACCACCAGTGATTTCCTTAAATAGTTTCCACATATTAGAAGGATTTTTGCAGGATATGAATTTCTGGTTATATATTACATTCAACCTCTGCATTTCAGACTTAATTAAGAAGTTAGTTCTTTTTACACCACTTTTATCTTTCATCTTATACAGTTTTTCCTTCTCTCTACGAAGCTTTTTAAGTTGAGGCGAGGAGAAACGGTCAAATTTGACGAATAGTGTTTCTTTTGGACAACAGATTTCAAAACAGAATTTCAGATAGGATGTAATATTAGAGATATTGTCATCAAGTGAATCATCATTAAACAAATCCCATCTTGTGTCACTGAGCATGTTTCTAAGATGATGTACGTTCTCATTTGAGTAGCATCTGTGAACAACTTTCTTAGACAAGTTTGAGAGGGCTTTACTGTGTAACTTTCCGTAAATTTTGGGTAAGACTCGTACAATACAATGATCAGAATTGAAGAGCGGGGCTCTTTTACGAGCTTCGTATATTCCAGAATCATTTATAAATACTAAATCAAGTGAAGTATTTTGTCGAGTTGGGAAATTAACAACATTTTCATGGCCCAGCAATGTAATAAAACTGCAGTCGCTGGAGTTGAAGTCGCCAGTCACTATAGATAAGGAGTTACCAAACGAAGCAGCAGCAAAAATAGTGAATTCATCAGCGAAGATAGATAGTTCTGAGGGACTGCAACAAGGTGTGATATAGATATTTGTGACAAAAATGGAGCTATACTTAGGTAAGTGTTTAGGTCGACATTTTACAGTTATACAGTCAATATTGTCATTTGAGAATTTGAAGCAGACGTTGTTGGCAGTAGACCACTGAGAATTAATAAAAGTGGCAACACCACCACCTCTCTTCTTCTTTGAGCTGCATCGGTCTTGTCTGTAGATTGTGAAAACAAGTCTTAGGTAGTATCAGACATGTTAGGAAATAACAGTTTCGTATGCCAGCTTTTACCTGTAGGCGGCCTCACGAGGATGTAAGAGGCAGGATTGGAAAAACCATACAGACTTCTATTACTCTGAAATCAGTCTGGAAATCTGCTGCACTTGGTAGTAGAAGTAAAATAAGGATTTTCATCACCAATGTCAAGTCAGCGATTCAATATGGTTAAGGGATCTCGCGTGTCACGAAAAACATTTCCGACAGACTTTGTACCGTTCATCAACAGCTACGTTCGCTCCATACCAAAGATCAGGTAACCATAAAGAAGTGACAGCTACAAACAGTGTAAGCGAACCCATCAAGAACCTACTGTCCGTCAAATATGCAGAAAGAAATGGAGGTGTATCGGACACACTCTGATAAGACTGCTGAATGACATCACATGCAAAGTCGTCTAGTGCAGCCCGATGGTGATATGAAGGAGAGTTTGTGAGCAATCGTGGAACCAACTAGTAAAGACAGTGCAATGAAGATGCACTGCTAAATTTCTTTGTTCCACTGGGAACCCTAGGAGATAATAATAAATGTCAACCTTCACTTGCTTAGTATAGTGATTATATCAGCACTGTTTGCAGACCGAATTATTAGATTTGTAAAGAATTCCCCAACAAGATGCCCCAGTTCAGCTATTTTAGCTCCGACTGTCATCCACAAAAGTATTCTCCACTTAGACAGCTCATTCTTTAGGTGATATTTGCGTTGTTTTTACTGAGCGTAGAAGTCATTGACTTCTATGTAGGTATCCCATATAAAAATGACTAATTTGCATTAAGTGGTAAGCGTGTGTCAACAAGACTGATACACTACTTTTGTTTTAACACAATCTCGTGTCTAGTTAGGTAAGCAGAAGTGTTGGTCATCACTTATTTTAACTTGCTTTTAAATGGATAGTGATTCTGTTAAAAAAGACAACCTTTTTGACACTTACTTGGTTGTACACTTTTTGTGGCTATGTGTAAACAAATAATAAAAAATAAACACATTCGAATATATTCAAAAAAATGAGGTGAATTTCACTCATTCCTACTCCAATTTTATTTCATCTACTTTTCGGTTGATCACAAAGTATTTAAGGAAGTAAAGTTTATTAAAAATGGAATCTGCTTTATGTAATCGTTAATGCTGGAGGGTGAAATGATGAAGATCATGGAACTATTGGTCTAACGTTTAAGTTAAATGATATTAAAACCTGGTTGGTAAATGGTCCTCGTCAATCAGTACTGAGTTGTTATTTTGAAGTTGCTGGTTCAAAAACTGCTGTGATATAATAATGTTTTCACCTTTCATAATTATAAGTTTCTTTAAAGTCGTTCCATTAATTCAATAGCTCTTTAAGTGGTCTGACTACAAGCAGGAGTCATTTGAAAGTTAAACAACAAGACTATTTTTTAACTTTTTAAGTCATAAAAATAGGTGCTTTTTGATAAACATGTTGTACATACAGTGCAACATACATACTTCTCTACTGACACGACATTTAACTACTTATAAATCTGGTTTCAAAAATAATACACAAAGGCCCGGTGAAGTAATGAGCTTCAGTTTGTGATTTAATTTGTTAGGAAAAGAGACAGGCAGAAAAGATTGCAAATATCAATAATAATAATGATAGGTAGTTAATAGTTATATGCATACATATATGCTTGGACGGAGTTATTCACTTAGATAGAATCATGTTAGAGACAAACATAAGTCTTGAGAGTGATATAATATATATATATAATTCATTTTACTCACTAGTTGGGAAAGGCATAACTGTAAACGTAGAAGGGTTAGATAACCTTGAAAGGTTTCAGCTATGATGTGTAATAAATACTACATCAGCAGTCGTCTTCGTTACTTTAGACAACTCAACTGTACACATGAATTCGTTGTCTGAAACCTTCATGCATACGCTTCCATATATCTCAAACATTTTAAATGATTTTTTAAAAAGTGTTTTTAAAGTCTTTACATGCGAGTATTACAGAAAAATAGAATAATAATCATTTAATTGGTGCAGAATAATTACTAGTTTAAAATAATGACGACGATTTCGGAAACTTGAAGGAATAAAATGATAACAAACTGAATATTGAAAAAATAATAAATACACAACAAGGCTTAGCGGATCAAAAGCTGAATATTATCATTCTCAGTGCGTGTGTATATATTTCATTTTGTAAATTAAACAATCACATTAGACCACAGTAAATTGATACTGTGGTGTTCAATATTGATTTCTGCAGATACATCTTTGTCAAAGGGATTTGTTGTTTTTGGCTTGTTCATTATGAATAGTACGAATTTTGTGACAACAAATTCATTCACAGTGTATGAAAGACCTGGATAATGCAATAACTTTTGACATCTTGATGGATTTCATTATAACGCTATCTTGCTTTCATTGGGACTCTTCATCCTTTAAGCACTGAATCCGGACTGATGTCTTTCAGTCACATGCAAATACATAGATAATTTTTACTAAGAGATTTTACGATAGCTGAAGGGAACAGGTAGTTGAATGACATGAAATATGATTTTATGAACTCTTGCACTAATGGAACTTTTTAAAACACCCGATAGAGTGTAGAGCAGCCTTGACAGCAGCACTGATTTCCATTTGCACGTGATATCTTTCATTTCATTCAGGCATGAGTAGAATGTTTTGATAAAAACAAGTTTTAGTTTGTCAATTTTTCTTTGGCTTTACAAGGAAAACTGATGGTGTTCAATGTCCGACATTTTAAAACAACAAATCTTCTTCGGCAAAGAAGACTGATTATTGACTTTTCCTTTTAACTAAATATAATCAGTCAAATGTTGCAGCAAGGGGAAGCAAATAGGGATGCGGAGAAAGGAGAAGAAATACTACGGTATTTGCCAACGGAGTAATCCAGCAGAAGTTTGTAGACACTCAAATTTTTGTTTTAAATTTGCCTTCCTTACAAATGTTCAATGAACACTGAAACACTCCGTAATCTGGTAACCTTTTGTAGCTTGACCATGTTTTAATTCCTTTTAGCCTCATTGTACTTTGTTTAAAACAGCTTGCAGTGGTTATTCGCCATTTATCATGTAGTAAGCCGTAAGCAGGCATGTAAATGTTGTTAGTTTCTCACTGATTCCATATCATTGGCATGCAAAAAATCTGATCGTACAACACACATACCTTTTGCAGTCCTCACGTGTACTGAAAACAGAATTCAGTCACATCCAGTGACATTAATTTATCACCAAAAACACCCATTGAGTCATAAAGATTTATAACTAACAACATCAGTATTAATATTATAGTGTATTTAAAATATGATAATATATCTCACAGTTATCCAAATAATTCTTAGGTTCAAGAAACTAAAAGTCTATTGCTTATTTTCGAGTGTTTGTTTTCAAGGATTTGACTTTTTTCAGGTTAAATCATATGCTGAAATCATTTAGTCAACCACTGATCACCAAGGAGCACAGGGCAAATTTTTCATCCAAGTTTGGGACTGCTCAGCACCGCTCACCCATGAATTAACCACCGACCAGATCAAAGACTTTCGGGTTACTAGGGAAGCCCGCTAAGCATTCAGCCTTTGTAAGTACTATTGAGGAGATCCAAACTACGACGAAAACAATACCCAGTACTCTGTGGTTTTCAATAGCTTTCTAACTGATTTATTACTGGTTCAATCTTCTGTACGCAACAACTTAAATTTAAGTAGCACATAGTACATCTAGTATGTTGTCTCCTAGCATCAGTCGTAAGTTTCTATTCTCATATTCAATTAACTGCCTTCATTTAACGTTATTTTCAAATAAATCTGGCAAGTAGTCATTAGTGAACAAGAATTTTGATGTGTGAGAGGTGGGGTGATGGGTATTGAAGGCTGACATCGCACCATGGTATCACTGTATTGCAAACTAACGCATTGCCTAAAACTACAACGACTTCTGTACTTATTATCTTTTAGTTTCCAGTAGTTCACTGACATGTCAAATGTTGTTGAATTACTGCTGTTTTTATACATGAAGTCATATGTCAGTAACCGGTATTCTTTAACTATTATCGATATATATATATATTTTATATAATCGTAGGATCTGAAAATGCTCTAGGAAATAATAGTTTCGTCAGTGGATTAATGTTCTGATTTCTTTATAAAGTAAGCATGTTACAAAAACTCGCCTGTCATCACACAAATACTAGAGTTTCAAAAAAACCCTGAACGTCTAAACAAACACTGCTACTAAGTTGGTTGTTAGATTTGATGTGAAAAACTATGACTTCTACAAATTTCATAGACAGAATATCCGATAAATCCACAGGTCCCATCCTCTTCATCTATTTATGGTATGGTTCATGTACAGATGGTTAAAACAAATGCGATAATGTCAGATAAACTGAAAAACGACGGTAATAAAAGATCCTTCGAATTATTGTGTATGAGATAGTTAGCTTTTGCGGTTTGCCAAAAGCATTAATTTCAACAAGCTCTGACTCTGATCGACGGCTGCCTTCGCTGCGTACTGAAGATCTCATGCCAGACCAGAAAGCGGTAGCCACAGGGAACTCTCGAAATGAGTCCGTCAACAAGCTACTGCTCAATAAATTAGCAGAAGGAAAAAAAGATGGGTAAAAAGCATTCTGAGGAGATTGCTGAATGATATCACTCACCAGACCACCTGTTGGGTGAACCCCGAAGGGGGACGATGAGCTACCCGCAGGTCTGAGGCTAACATGTTGAAGATCGTGTAAAGAGAAGATGACAACCTATGACAGTTGTGGCGCTAGTTAAAGACGACTTCAGAAAACAAGATGAAGTGGAGATTTCACTTTTAAGCTCTATTTTCTCTTGGAAAGTAATAATAATAATGTTTAACTTACTTCTCCTCTTTTCTGCAGGGGCTAAAAAAGAATATTTTACTCTTTGTTAAAGAGAAAATGAATAGCATTAAAACTAAAGGTGGAATATCATAACTTGTTGGTTTACATTTCCTTTGACTTTAAAGTTTACATACACACATATATTCATCTGGATGTGGACTTGTAAAAGAAGTACATTCCTCTATTTTTCATTATACTTATCACTGAAACAAAACGTTATGTTAGTCATCTTAGCAAGTCAGGTTAATGCTGAAAGTTACATTAAAATGAACAGGAATCATAAAAGTCTATTTCTTGATAAATATATAACGAGATTTGTTAGTTCAGTTTATTGATACTATAGTATTCATTAAAACAAAAGAGATCAGTGCTTATTAGCATAAAAAATCTCTTGTAATGTGTTATCTTCCCTTTAATCTGATGAGACTTTCAGCGAGTTTTGACAGAAGGATGAAAAATGAATTGTTCTCCCTATGTAGAATACTTAATTCACTTGTATTCCAGAAAGTAATAGCGTTTCGGATGATATATAAAGCGAAAGTCAGTGCTTTGAAGGCCAGGTTTCACTCCATAGGCAGCAAAATCTTAGATACTTAGAAAGATGCGGACGCGTAGTGTCCACAAGCTCCATGCTTTCGCCTTTATCATTATCTAACGTAACTTTGGCATTTTTCTGAAGGATTTCAGAGAATTACAACAGTCTGTTAATCAGTTTCATTTCTCTTGCTAATCAATCAATTCTTTACGCTAAACCTTCTCGAGTATTATTGCTTTAAAGATTAAATCGATGAAACTGTTAGGCAAGTAATTCTGGTCACTCTCAACTTGAACAAGCACAATATATTACGCAACACTGATCACAACAATAAAAGAAAACAGAAAGAAAAACGTTACAAATTTGTTACTCGGCATACTTGTCGCTATAAAATAAATATGGAAACAGGAAAAAATTCAGTTATTGCTTCGGTAACCCATAGGAATTATAAATAAATCAACAGTACTTTTGTCATGAGGAATAACACTGAAATATAAAACGAGACTAAGAGCTTAGCCTGCATTAGGATTCAATGTAGTATCAATGAAGGCAACGTGAAACTCTTTTGTAGTTAGACGCACTGTCTTTCGTATATGATTAATTGAACTATTCGTTCATTCAGGTCGCTATAGTCTTACGTATCAACCTGTTTTGTGCTTATTGTATTCAAAATTCAATGATAATTAAACACAATACATCAGATAAACAAATTCATGTGCTGATCAAAAAATAAACCTGCATGTAATTTATTACATCAAATAAGTTGTTCAGTAATGATTCTTATTTTACTTCAGCACTGAATTCACATCCCTCTCAACATTCAGTAAACGTTTTCAACACTGACTAAGCTCGAGAATATAATTTTAAATTGGAAGCAATTATTTTATTTTTATAACTTCAGGTGTATTTACTTGATTAAGAATAAATTAACTTTTCTGAAGAGCATTAGATTATTTCGTAGAAACCAGTTGGTAGTCGTATTTTTTATTCAACGAAATGCAACATACTGCACTCACGTGGAGTTTCCCAAAGTATTCCAGCTAAAGTTAAGGATAACAAACAACGTTTTACTGTTTAACAGTACAACAAGTTTTAAAGTATGGACATGAACATTTATTCACTTCAAGAAATATACTCGGATATTCAAGTGTTTAGAACAATCAGAAACATGCAATACTTTAATCTTGTGTAACCTACATATAGCATTTGTCTTTTCAGTCTTGCAAAAATGATACAACATCATTCGACAACCATAGAAGCAAAATGGTAGATATAATGAAATTCATTCTAACTAGGTATTAGGTAAATGGAGCTCTTTGTTATTGTTAAGCGAATAAACTATTTGCACGAATATGAACAGCTTCGCAAGACCATCCATTGAGTTAATAAATAGATGTGAAGGTGACGTGTACGACAATCTTAATGCCACGTAATTTCCCCTTAGATTATTCTGAATGCGTCATGAGAAAGACAAAAGGGGAATCAGCGAAGAAAGCTTTCTTCACCATTAAAATCATTTTAACAAGCTGTTGATTCTTTAATTTGCCTTTTATTTCATCAGGATTATATGCATTTTAGTCTACCTAAATTCTTTGCTCTTGATTAGGTTGGTACTGAATCAGACATGGTTTATTACTTTGACTGTCTCGTTCGTAAGCAAAGTATTTGTGTCCGTTGATATTTTGATATTTAAAAGTGATTAAATTAATGTGGGCAACAGTAGTGAGACCTAATGTTGCATCATTTTAAGACCTACGGCCAATGAAAATACCAGTTGTATCTCAACAATGAATATAGCAGGTTATTATGGATCAACGTTTCCTCATTCCGAGGATTCTTCCGAGTCGTTCACAACCTATAGACTTCCAAATTATATAAAGTTTAAAAAGGTCTTAATAGAATTCTTTAAGCACTCTGACAGTGAATTACTGCTGGCAGTTATAAGTGAAACATGTGTTGGATGATGTAATTAACAATAATATTACTATTAATAATCATAATAATAATCACAAAAATAACAGTAATGACAATCGAACTACTTATATCATTCCTAACTTATGCTCCTTATAATGCTTATCTCTAATTTGCTATCAGCATGATTAAAGGAGTATATTCACACTATTTTCCAATTCACATATTCCCGTTTTGGTTAGGTAGCAAACAATTGAAAAAAAATTCATGAAACGATAAAAATGAGCTAATATCACCCTATTACATTTATTGTCACTGCTTTGTTCTAGGTACTGAGTGGCGAGAATTGTCTGCCGCTATTAATATACCTATAAGCTTTAGTATGTAATCGCTCTTATGTGTGGTAAAGAATACAAATTTTAAACTTACAACAATTTACATAATATGTGCATATCAACACTATTGTGACAGTGCTAGTAATCCTCAAAAAATAATTCATTTTAACTGGGTGCTTTATGCACTAATTGACTGAACAGTTTAATGCAATCGTAAACTTAAAGTCGTATTATCTAAATACATCTATTGATTATAATTATTACTATTATTATTCGTGTATTATTTCACATGAGAATCCAAATGACTTTTACATTTATTTGCTCTAATTCCACTTGTGTAAATATTTGCAGATGATGATTATTGTAAGAAGCAGAGTAAGTTGAGTGCAGCTAGGCGAATATAAGATTTTAATTGTGTCAGTCAAAGCCAAATTCCACGAATTATGCAGACAGACTAGATATTTGCATACAAAAAAGTAAAACGTCCTGGGGAGTAAATATTCATTAAAAGTATTTAGTTTGTTAGGTGTGTGGCAATTAAATTGGTTTCAGAATAAATTTTTATTATTGATTATCATAAAGCAGTGAACTGTGAACAACTAAGAAAGAAGGGATTAAAATTCTGCTGGTGATTGGGCATCAGTTGGGTGAATGAGCTACAACATGCTTGACTTATACTCTGGTGATGGTGCACTTACCCAACTACAAGATAGTTGATACATATTTTTGAAGAGTTAAACTATACGTGAACTAGCTATTCAACGAATTTGGGCTTCTAGTGGTTTTCCCAACACTCTTGGTTAGTAAAGAAATCTGTTCGGATTTTAGTAGTACTGTTTTGGAAACAGTGCTGTGAACTTTAGTATATAACACGCAGCGATTGTGATGACTTAAATTAGCTTAATGTGCTTGAAAATAGCTGTTATCTTCTTGGTTTGTTACTAACATACTGTACAAGACTTCATTTTTTGAGAATAGCTAATTTATATCGTGTAGGCTTCTGACTGTCATGATAAAACGTTTCCCAAGTAATTGTAAAAAGTACCTTGTAGACCATAGACAAGATATTGACTGTGCTAAGTTTTTCAGATGATTGAAGTTGGAGAGACTCATGTAATTAGTGTCTATAAATCCTGTTTCTGTGTACGGAAGGTGTTTTATTTCACCCACTATTATTCTTATTTTGAATAAACTGTATTGTTTCATTTTCATTTTCCCAATCCTCAACATATTCAAGTTCTTTTCCTGATAACTAATTACTTATTATAATGACGTAGCTGAAATTTGATCCATTTTATTCTCATTTTTCAACTCCTCATTAGCTTCCACATTTTCCCCGTCTGAGCCTGACTTGTAAAATATATTCACTAGTCGTTCTGCTATGGTTGATTTATTGTCGTTTCATATCTTCTTATGTATTTCTCATTGCATATATAGCTGATAACTCCTACTGAAATTCGATACATTCATTGAATAATGCTTTGTCAACAGTTGTTTCTTGTTTTGATACTTATTTTAACATAATCTAGCACAGGTATCAGAATACATTGCCTATTAATAAACTACTAGAAACATTATTCGACGTAATCCAACTCTGACAGTCTAAAATGAAGAAGCAGTTTTATCAATATGCCGCCAAATCTAGTCGTAGAACTTACACGGCAAAATATCAAAGCACAAAAGACAGCAGTTTTCATCACTCGGCTGGTCTACAAATATACTATACCTTAATTAGACATAAGATTTCATTGAAATGTTAGCATACTACAGCTCTAGGATCCACCTTCCTTGTACTATTCAGACAAAAATTCTCTTCGAAAGTGACAGATATTCAAATCCAGGTATTTGTTTTGACGATCTCAAGATTTTAAACGTATTCCGTCCAATAAAGACAGATGATATGTCTGATTTCTATTTCCCAATGGAACTACTAATTGCCTCCTTCATATGAAGCACGAATTTGGCATTTTCAGTCACAGTATCTTGATAAATGAATAAACCTTCCATTGTGTTATTGAACTGTGATTTTAACCACAAGCAAGCACTATTATATACTGAATACCAGTGAAACCTTTCCATTATGGAGAATATTAGCGCACACAAATTATGGTTTATCACTTCATATATAGTTAGGATGAATGAACTGTGAATCCTGTAATATATGTGCTTGAAATCCTTATGAATGAAGTAAAACAGATATGAGACTTTATCACAAGAAAGCTGGAAGACAGTGAATTCGAGTTAGTGTTGTCTCCAGTAGTAATAAATGAAAACGCCGTAAAAGCATTGATTCAAAACATAGCACCCTAATGTTTTGTTAAGTATACTGTTATTAAGGCGTTTTCTTCCAATGTAGAATAACTACTAATTGCATAAAATGATGCACATATGTTATTAAGCTTATTGATTTGTCAATAGTATACAGTTAATAGTTATACTTTAGCAGTGTTAGTGTTACATAAGTGCAAATAAAATTAAAATAGCGATAGAAAATTCTTTCACTACTTGACCATATTCATAAGCCGTAAAATTTAATTCCAACAAAGCGAAAATTTCGATAAAGAAAGGAAGACGAAATTTGCAGTATAAAATGATATCATTCTATTTCACAGGTTCTCATCAGCTGCAGACTACCTGAAATTACAATGGTTATATAGATGATATTAACATACTTTAATGTTCGAGTTGTGGTAGAAAAGAGATACTATAAAATTGATGCATCTAAATGAAAGCATTACAATGTTTTTAGTTTAAGTTTCATCATCAATTTATACGCTTTTAAAGTTGAAAAGAGGGGGAGGGGTAAGAGAGAAAACAGAAAAATTTGATTAACAGAACAGTGTTAGCTTTAAGGTTCACATAGCAACTCAATAAATAAAAAACGGTTACAGTTTATGAGATTAAGATTTGTTCAGTGAGTTGAGATCACTGAATTAGATGACTAATCAAAATCAAAATTCTACCACAACTCGAACATTAAAGTATGTTAATATCATCTATATAACCATTGTAATTTCAGGTAGTCTGCAGCTGATGAGAACCTGTGAAATAGAATGATATCATTTTATACTGCAAATTTCGTCTTCCTTTCTTTATCGAAATTTATCAAGGGAACCAAATGTATGAATTTTTTGAAAAGCGAAAATTTTTCTCAGTATTTAAAGAAATATACAAAAAGAAGATTTACGTGGTAATAACAGTCTAAATATTAGTTTTACAAAAACTGCAGCGTACTTCCTGTAAACTAGTTGGAAATAAGTCTTCTTATAAACTGTATGGTTTACTAAGGATCTGGTGATGTGCATTTGTTAGTTTAACAAGTAATACTGTATGAGTTTCAGAAATTATTGGACTAAATGTACATTTCATATTTTCATTAAATAAAATTTTTTCCTTCACGTCCCCAGTGGAACATAGGGCCTCAACCTAGTGGCCTGAAGTATCTGTAGTAGTGTTTAATTTTACAGGGTGGGGTTGCTAGCCTTATGTCTGACCTTCCCTCCTTACCAGCATTATTTCTGGCTTAGCGAAAGTAAAGAAGTGTGTCTGCCGGGGATCGAACCCCAGACCATGTGCATCGTCGGCGATCGTCTTAACCGCTGTTCCACCGACGCACATTATTTACAATATGATATCAATATTTTCTCGGTTGGACTGATGTTTAGAAGCTCCTAGCTGGTTAAGTCTAGACAGACATACGCTAGGGATATCATCTAGATATTAGGCGAATTATACGATAATGATTTGATGGTGTGCAACATTTATTTCAGTCATCTCGGACTGTCGTGTTTTCAGACTTTAGTTGATCATACTGAAGTATTTTATATTGAATATTGATTCCTAGGAAAGTATATTACTGTGGTGTGATCGATGTTTGAACATTAACTTCCGAAGAATTGTATTTCGCAATTAGGTTTCCTCAGTAAAGCTAGAGCAGTTATAATGGTAAGCTACCAACGAATAGTGTTTTAATGGTTCTTAATGTACCAATACAATTACTGGATTCTCATAAGTTTACAATAGAAAAATAAGATTAAAAAGCTTTCATTTTAGAAGTAACATTTCAGCAGGCTTCAGTAAAGGAAAAAGAAGTTTATCAATTCGTCGTAGATAAACCCATGGCTTACAGTGTTATGCACCATGCAGCATTTTGAGCGATTCACGTTTTTATCGCCACTTTTCTTATGGCTGGGTGATTTGCACTTGCAGTCCAACTCTATTCGGTTTATGTGACAGGTCAGTCCTCTCTTTTAATTTAAACCAGAAGTAGAAGTAAACTGATTGTTTGAATGGTTTGTTTATGAATGAAGCTCACCATAAACAGGTTGCGTTTCTCTGATTTAACTTAGGTTAACTGACGCCAACCTTCCATGGCTTCCACTTAACTCCTGATGAATTTGAATAAAAACCATCGGTAAGTTGTAGACTGTTAACCCAACATTACAGAAAATATTTGCATCAAGATCTTGATGAAGGTCATCATAGTAAAGTGTGGCGTTTCTGAGACTTTAGGTCATCTACGCCATGCTTAGATAACAGTGGATGACAATCAGTTTTGAAAACTAATTTCAATATTTTAAAATAATTATCCGAAGTAAAAAACTAATATACTCACAATACTTACAAGTAGTATGGTTTACACTACAAGATATTACGCCGATGATTACTTTCTAAAGCTGTCAAGAATATAATGGTAAATTATAATACATATACGGCTGAGTTCGATCGTTACTTAAAGTGACTCACCTATTTGCATGCTTACACGCTTGCTTACTTTTCACTAGGAAATATTATCGGTCCCACTAAAACATACATGTTAGGGAAATATGAATCATGCGGCGCTTTAAAGTCGAATACTCGTTGAAACAAGCATATGGCGTAACTGTTGACAAGCAAAAGTTGCAGATCTAAACTTTCGTTATCAGATAGTCGTCATTATGTCATTAAGTGTGATCCATATTACAGTATGCTGTTACGTGGTGCAGTAAAGTGGACGGGATATCATTCATCAACTCTATTTTTTTCATTTTACCAGTAGATGTTTGTGCCGACACACTGTTACAGAGCAGCCTTGGTAGATGGAAAATTTAAGATAAAGGTTGGCTTATTGGTCTGTCAGTTTGTTACAATTCATTAAATATCAAAGACGTAACAGTTTCATTCC